TAATAATAATAATAATAATAATATATTTTATTTATATAACGTTTTTTAAAATCTCAAATACACTTTACAGGAATCAAGTACAATTACAAACAGAAAATGTAGGTACATCAAACAAAATCTAATAATAATAATAATAATAATAATAATAATGATGATGATGATGATGATGATGATGATGATGATGATGATGATGATGATGATGATGATGATAAGGCATTACAAAGAAGAAGAAGATTTTGAACAAAACATTTATTCACAATGATAAAGTGCAAATACAATTAAACAAAAATATCACATCAGAACAAGCTTAAAACTGAATTAAATAAGATGCTTGTTAAATGTCAGTTCTCCCCGAGTTGATATATTGCACAAAATCCCAATGAAGCCCCATAGCTGCAGAAAATCCTCCATATGCCCAGCCCAAGAACAATATTAGGAAGAACACTGACCACTTTAGCGACTGCCAAGCATGATGGTGGCAGCATCACATTGTGTATACTGCTGCAGTGGAAAAACTGAATAGAACAAGAACCATACTTCCAAATCTTTTACATCTAATCCTCAAATCAACAACTACCAAGTTGAAACTTGAAAATGGTTGTTCCAACAAAATCACAATAACAATTGCTGGATTTTCTAGAACAATATTATGATTGGACCAGTCCTTTATGGTGCGGGCACACAAAAAACAAATATAACAAATACAAACAACAACAACTAAACAGGACAATATTTAAATTAATTCCTTAATCAAGCTAGCCAAAGAGCCAGACTTGGTTTTGGAAGCAGACTGACATAGACTTCTGAAATGGCATCAGCATCAAACTAATGAAAATGTATGACGATAAAAATGTTGGTGCGTCTGTATGAACTTGTATAATTTGGCCCTCACATGAATTAGGATTTACAAAAAAATTATATTTACGCACCCAACTCTTCTTTTAAAAGATAGTTGTTGTTGGTTGTGTAATCATTTAATCTTTGACAAAGAAAAGTTCAAAGGCATTACAACAAGCCCAATTTTAATGACATTTATGCCAAAGATGAGCGTATCTGCATACTTTGTCCAATAGGGGGCAGTAGTTCACCCCCAATCTCCACCACAGAAGAAGCAGAGGAGGCGGGTTGTACTTAGCGCGGGTGGACTGTTACAGTTCTGCTGATGTGTCGTTGTGTTGTACAAACATTATAACATTATTCTGTAGTATGGCTTCGTTTGTTACCGAGGTGCTCGCCAGCTCCGGGAAGCTGGAGAAAGAGGACCTGGCCAGCAAAATAAGCAGGATGTCCCGGAAGGTGGAAGATACCAAGGTAGTTTTTCCTGACTAGCTTTAGCAGCTGCTAACATTAGTGTGAAATAAAGTTTGAACGTTGATTAGCTGTGAACACCTGGCTGTTAGCTGAGCTCCGTTGAGAGATTTAAAGTAACAATCTCAGAAAGTAGTCATAGCGTTATTTAACATTATTTGGTACATCTGCAGGACTGCCATGATGTTATAAAATGTAAAAAAAAACATTTTATTAATTGTCTGGGTGTCCTTGAATGCAGCTTTTTCAGCCTTGCTGTAAAAAATGTAGCACTTCACACTATTTCATTAGTTTTACTATATTTTTACATTTAAACAAATCAATTTCTTAAAATTTAATGCAAGTATTTGCTGAAAAGGCAATTGAGGTTTTACAGATACTTTGATCATATAAACTACCGTAGTTTCGTATGTCTTTCTTCCTGAAAGACCAGATTTGTAGAGTGAATGACAACGACCTTCACCGACATGGATGGAGGCTTCATTCAACTTTGTATTTCTGTTTTAAGACTGCTGATGCACTAAAGTCCTGTTGATCAAATTTCTCTGTGCTCTTCTGCAGGAGGAAGTGTGCGACATGATAAACAAAAAGTACAGTGAATTTCTCCCAAAGCTTCAAGCATCAGAGGACCTGATGCAGCAGGTTGATATGGTCTCTAAAGAAATGGAAACTCTTAAAAACTGCATTGAGTTTGAGGTATAGTTTAAATTTAGTTCAAATGACACTCTATTTGCAGCATTGCGACTATTATGCTTTTCCTTATGTGCATTTAGGTACAGCAGAACATCCATGTGGCAGTGAATGAATACATTAAGCTGAAGCAGCAGCTGGAGAAGAACACTGTGATCATAAAAATGCTTGAACATTTAAAAGAGGTACATGGTATTTGTTGAGATTTTCTGCTGGATGTTTGATTCATTTTACTAATATTATTTTTTTGTGATTCAGTTTCACAGTGCGATGGAAGACTTCAACAAAACACTACAGGAGAAAAAGTATGTTGATGCTGCCACCCATCTGGAAAAAGTAAGATCTGCTTTCCTTACATACTGAATTAGATTAAATGTTTAGATGGTGATACAATTGCTCAACCTGTAGGCATGATTTGTTTGCAGGATTATGAAAAATAAAAGCTTCTTTAATCCAGCTGCAAAATATTTGATAAAATTAGCTGATTTTTGTTTCTTTCTTCTTTACATTTTTCTAAATAAAAAAAGAGATTAAAGCTGTTCCAGACTCTCCCATCTTCTACAAAATACAAATTCCAAAGTTTTCACATTCAGCTCTTTTCATTATTAAATTACATTGAAAGGACATCCCTTATTTCTGCTTGCCACACCACTACTTTGGTTTTTAAATTCCTGGTTGATAATCTGACAGCTAAGTGCAAGTTGATTAAAGTCACACAGTGTTTGCTGGGTTTTTCTGTTCTGTGTTGTGCACAGACTGTATGAAGCCATGTTTCTCTTTATGTTTGTATGTGTGTTAACTTTTAAGGCAATAAATGCCTAACTTTAAAAACTTAATCGCTAGTTATGTTAAATTTTTAAGCTTTTGATAATATTTAAATTAATATCTCATTGCTTCATTGAATTGAAAAAAAAATCAATGTCAGCGTTCTTATTACAACTAACATCATTAATTAAAGCTCGTCTTAAAACCCATCTTTTTTACTTTGCTTTCAACTCTAGCGGGATCTAGTTTTAAATTGTAAGTTTTTGTTTTTAAACTGTAATTTTTTATTTTATGTTTTTATTGTTATGTTGTGTTTTGATGTACAGCACTTTGTATCAGCTGTAGTTGTTTTAAAGTGCTTTATAAATAAAGTTGGTATGGTATGGTAATTAAAATGAATTCCCAAAAGGTAAAAACCTTTTCATGTGAATATTGAGATTACAGTTGCCAATCATAACATTTTTTTTAACTAAATAAGACATTCATGTATATGGATCATCGACCTGTACAGGCGAGGAAAAACGTGGATTCACTGAAGGATTGGAAAACATCCCAGGTGCCTCTGCTTAGTTCCCTGAGCTCTGAGCTGACAGTGCAGAGAGAGAATTTAATTTACCACCTGGGAGACGAGTGGAAGCGCCTCGTCATCTGGAGAGTACCGTCCACAAAGGGTGAGACATTCTAGTTAGAGGTGGTCTAGTGGGAAAGAGCTAAGAAATGCTCTCTGTTTAAATATTTCCAATATTTACCCAAACTGTTGTGCACAGTTTCGAATATACCTGTTTGACTATCTGTGTAGCAGTAGTAGTGATGGTTGAAAGTTTTTCTTTAGAATCTGCAGGTCCGAAGACCTTCCATAAGGTAGAGCTGGTGCTGAGTGAAGCCTGCAGTAAAGATGTTGAACAGAAGCCAACCCCCCTGCTGTGCTCCGTCCTGCAAGCTCTAGCAATCCAAGGAGATCTTCAGAACAAGATCAAACTCTTCAGTAAGAACAAGCAACGTTTTAGAGTTCTCTGTATGTTTATGCAAGTTTGGATAAGCTTGGAAAAAGGAAATGGAATGTAAAAATGCAACTCAATTCAGGGAATGTATGTATTCCCTGATCCTCCGGTCTAGACATATACGTTTAAACCAGCTATGTTCAAAGTGTGTCCCGGGAGCCACTTGTGAAATTTGAAATTGTTTACTTCAGTCCTTGACCACCAGCCAAGAGTGGGGATGGACAACAAAATAGGACGCTACTTGTCTTAACATGTACATCTATCTATTTGCATTTTTCAGTCTTATTTTCTCCATACATCCTTTTATTCTTCCATCTGTTTATCCTTCTTTCTGTTTGACTTTAGTTATTTTTCAATAAAGTAGTTGCTCGACAGCTGCAAATGTTCAAGTTTGGAACTTTGACTAGAAGCTGTGCTGATGAAATCTTTTTATTTTGTCTTTGTGTTGCATATTCAAGCTCATTTTTCTTTCTTTCTTTTCAGGTCAGGTGCTGTTGAAGAACATGCTGAAGCCGCTGGTTATGTACGCATCCCTTGAGCTTATTGTATCTGAGCAACACGGCGAGGGAACCATTTTGGGCCTGGAGTGTTTAGAGGAGGAGAACAAGAAGCGATCCACTCCTTCTCAAGTTTACAAGACACTACTGCTCTTGTTAAAGACCCTACACACACACCTGCTGGGTAGAAAAAGGCATATAATGGCATTTTATTTTTTATCTTGAGATAGTCTTAGGCTAAAATCAAATTGCTGTTTGTTTTTTTCCCCAAAGATGTTTCCATTGGAGATAGAAATCTCTCTGCTATGCTTGGAGAGTTGATTTGGGAGGAAATGTCAAAGTGCATCATCCATGACTGTCTTGTGTACTCCATACCCACCAACAGCGGCGAGCTTGAAAGATACAACATTGTACTTAACCAAAACACTTCAACTCTGCCTCTATTGAATCATGCTTTTGACTGAATCACATTTTCTGTGTTCAAGGTGATTAAAGAGACTGAGGCATTCGAGGAGGCTCTGAAGAATATGGAGTATCTGCAGGTCGATTCCACAGATCTGCTCAAATACGCCAGAGATGTCAACTGTCACTTTGCCAGCAAGAAGTGCAGGGACGTCATTGTAGCGGCGCGCAAGCTCATGACCTCCAAGATGCACAACACCGTTAAAGTATGTATCCATCAACAGTCAAGCTCAGGTCTGCACAGGGAAACGGAGGGTTACAATGTATGAATATAGTGCTGTAGATGCTAACGACTCAATTATAAGAGTTGATCATAATCTGCTGCTAAGGAACTCTTATTCCTTGATTATGAAATAAGAGTTGATAACTCTTAAGAGTTGAGAGTTAAACTCTTAATTATGGGAAAATGCACTTTATCAGATTTTAAACCAATTTAATAATCAATTAATTGTTTACTAACTGAACTAAACGGACTCAAAAAGAAGCAATATGCTGAAAAAAACCAACGCATTCAGAGCAACAATTAAGCCTAAACTGTACAAAGAAATGTATACATTAAGAATTTAAGATAAAAAAAACACCTTTGTATGTAAATATGTTTTACCATAAACTCCTCAAGTGGCAGTTTTAGCTTCATCTGGTTTAAAATCACTAAGGGGACTTCCAGAAGCAAATGGAGTAGACGGGTGCGTTAGAGCCTCTCTCCCACCTTAATTTCAAAATATTCCGTTCAAAACTCGTTAATCCGCTCACGGTTTCAATAAAATAATTTATGAACGGGAGGAGAAACATGTCAAGCCATAAAAAAATCGACAAAAATGCCTAAAGTTCAGGATAAAAGTGCCCTGGTAGCTAAGGCTAACACGTGCCTGAATCAAGCTAACGACAACGTGGCTAGCTCGGACGCTGAGAGCACTGGAACGAACATGGACTCGGAAGGAATTCTTAAAGCTATCGACGATTTGAAGACTGCCTTAAAGGGGGATAATGCAAAGCTACAACAAAATATTGACCATCTGGGACATGAGATCAACGGTAAGCTGGACAATGTTGCCACTGAAGTACAGGGCCTGGCAGAGCGTGTTGATGAGGCGGAGGCCCGCGTTCATCAAGTGGAGACCTGGGCAAAGGAGGCAACGGAGGCGCTGTGCTTCTGCATCGAACAGAGGAAAACACAGCTTAAAGTGCTTGATTTCGAGTCCCGTTCCAGAAGAAACAACGTCCGTGTATTTGGGGTGCCAGAAGGTCAGGAGGGGAACTCCACTACACAGTATATCGAGACGCTTTTGAGAAGCCAGCTACAACTACCGGAGGACCTGGACTTGAAAATACAGCGCGCACATCGCACTCTGACAAGTAAACCCCCACCGAGGGCTATTATTGTCAACTTTCTGTAATTTTCCATAAAGGAAAAGATCTTAAGAGAAGTGTGGAAAAAAGGCAAGATCCAGGTGGGCTCTTCAATTATTCACTTCGACCACGATTATGCTCCTGAGATAGTGAAGAAGCGCAGAGAATATGCTATCAAGAAAGCGCTCAAAGTGAAAGGCATCCGCTTTCAAACACCGTTTACCAACATAAGGATCCACTGGGAATCAGGAACTCGCACATATTCCAGCGCTCGGGAAGCCTACAACGAGCTGAAGAGACGCGGAATCCAGGCGGAGGAACCGGCGACAGCTGACGGTGTTTCTAGAGCGGAGTGGAGGCTCCGGGAGCTGCTGGGCTGGCAGCCGGTGGATAACAGCGGCGCTGCGGTGGCGCTGAGAGCCAAGAACAAACTACAGGATTTCCAGCGGAGCATGATCGAGAGAAAATAGGCAGAATAACATGATATAATGCAGCATTATTTTGACTAGGCTCTGATTTACTACTTGGTGGGAGAGGTCACTATTTATTTTTTTCTACGTAGGACTAATAGGATGGACGTGTTTTTTCCTAAAGGCGCTTCTAATGTCCTTTCTGGGCCCTCTCAGTTTGAGAGGGTCATGAGCGAGAAGAAGGAGCTTCTCCTCACCTTGGAAGTCAGTTTGTTACTGTTCTGTTTTGGATTCAGGGGCCAAATCAGTCAAGGTATTTATGTACATTATTGTCATATAATTTAAAAATTGCTTCCTTGAATGTAAACGGTTTGAATAGTCCAGTGAAAAGGAAAAGGGTCTTAGCCAAACTGAAGAAAGATGGGATACAAATTGCTCTTTTACAAGAGACACATATGTCTAAACAAGAACATGACAAATTTAAGTCACTTTGTTACTTAAACACGTATTATAGCTCCTGAGAAACAGTAGGAAGAGGGGGGTAATCACCCTGATTTCTAATTCACTGAACTTTGAATTGATATCTGAGAAGGGAGATAAAGAGGGCAGATTTGTTATTATAAAGGGGAGAATTGATAATGTTGTGGTCACGATAGTTAATGTATATGTACCACCAGAGAGCGACAGGACTTTCTTAAAAACGTTCTTTGACACCATTATCTCACTTAGTGAAGGAGTTCTTATTTGTGCTGGAGACTGGAACACAATCCCTAATTATGCTCTAGATACGACAAGCCATAAGAAACAAAAAACTGGTAGGTCAAAAGACCTAAATATCCTGATCAGGGAGATGGGCCTGTTTGATGTCTGGAGGGGTCTCCATATTAAAGAAAGAGAATTTACTCATTACTCTTCTACCCACAAAGTCCACTCCAGGATTGACCTGTTTCTGATGAACACCACTGATAGATCTAAAGTGAAGGAATGCTTAATTGGAACATCTGATATTTCGGATCACAATATTATCTATTTGTCCATCTGTCTGACTAGTAGGCCTAAAACAACATTATGGCGCTTAAATATAGGTATTCTTAATAATAAATCCACAACAAAGGAGATTAGAAAAGAAATAACTGAATGTGTAAAAGACAATAATAATGGGCAGGTAAATCCCACCTTAGTCTGGGACACAGTCAAGGCAGTAATGAGAGGGAGACTAATTTCTAGAACTGCTTACCTTAAAAAAATAAGGTTAAAATACGATGAACTGGAAAAAACATTGAGGAACTTGGAACTAAAACAGCAAATGACTAACAATGGAGAATTTTCAGAACAAATAACAAAAACTAAAAACAAAATAAACGATATGATACTTGAGGAACTTGAGAAAAAATTAAGATTCTGCAAACAAACATTTTACGAATCAGGCCCAAAAGCTACCCGGATCTTAGCCAGACAACTTCGTAAACACCATTTGAAGCATTCGATTACCAAAATTAGAGAATCCTCAAATGGTAATTTAACCTATGACATGAATAAAATACATAAAACCTTTGAAAATTATTTTAAAACATATTCTGCCCCAAGATCAGTTAACATAACTGTCTATTATTGTCAGCAGATGTGTCATTGTTTTCTTTTGGTATTGCAGATTGCTGCTGTTGCCTATTATGCTCCCACAAACCATACAGAACCACAAACCGTGCAGAACCAGAACAGCATAGTTCCTTATTTTTATTAGCGTACTGGGCACAGCCTTAGGACGGGGTTGGGGCAATGCGGGATTTGTTTTTCTTTTTTTTCTAACATTATTTTGTGTTACTTTGTGTTTCTATTAATCTGGTTTGCATTTGTTTTGGTTCCAATTGCTTCTAGTCTTGTCCTGGGTTTTTGAGCCTTATTGAGTTTTAAATTAGAATAATAAAGTCTATTTTTAATATTGTAAAAGAATGTATAAATAAAATATATTTTGGTATACTACTTCTGTTTCCTCATTCTCAGCCAGACCTACCTGGGTATAATTAA